TTCTTCATAATTGTTTTTTTTAAAAAAAGCATGTAATGTACTTTAACATTTTTCTTATTATTAAAACAAAAATCATGAAAATAATTGTCACTAGTTTTTGACAATAAGTTTTTACTTGTTTAAAATAGAATTTTGTTTCTTCTGTAAAATTTAAGTGTGTAATCTTTGTTCTGTTTGTCTAGAATGCAAAATTTTTTCTGTTAAAAATGTGATGCATTGTGTATAACAAAGGTTCACTTTATATAGCGGGTAATGCTTTTTTTTTTATTTTATAAACGTACAATACTTCTATATATATATTATTATACAATAATTATTTATAATTTTTAGTGTTTTTTCATGCTGCAATTACTTTCAAGTGAAAATGCTATCTATTATCATAAATATACAATTCTTTAAAATCTATTATCATAAAAATTTAAAAATAATAAATAAAAATCTATTACTCAAAATAATATTAAATAACTGCTTAAAGCAAAGGCTTTATGATTAAGTTGTAAATAAAGAATTATAATTATAAAACAAAGTTTGCATAGGAGATGGTGCAATGTTTTATGAGCTAATGTTCAATCAAGTATCAATATAGGTCCTATTTTAAATGAGCAAATGTGCAATCACACATAGATTTTTGTGCAATGTAAAAAAAAATAAGAAAACTAATCAATAATTATGGTAGGTTTGGTATTGTGCAATTATTTAAAGATAGATGTGCAATGTGTTTTTCTTAAATGTGCAATAGGATCCTCAAAAAATTTAATATTTGTGTGTCCATTACCATATTAAGGAAAAAAAAATGTCTATGTAAAAGATGGTGTACAACTCTTTATAAACTAATGTGCAACTACATGTAAGTATTTAGTGCAATATAAAACATAAAATAAATAAACTTAATTATTAATTGATAGTGGTTTTGTTATTTTTAATGCTGAACTTAAAAAAAATGAAAAAGAAATGCTGAAACTTTTCTAAATTATTGATTTTTGAAAATTTTTGTAAGTATTCATAAGGTGTTACTTTGTCATTGATTAAATTATAATGGGACCATACCCTAAAAGTTATCAACGGCACCCTTGAATTTTCCATAATTTATATATGCAACTTTAGGGTGCGTTAATTTACTTGTTCGAACTGATGTTAGATTTCAAAGAATTCTATAAGTAGATATGTAAATTAAAAGCCTTGAATGTTTTACTTCCTGCCCCAACTAATCGAGCTGCATGTCCATAATTTAAATAAGATATTCTTTTATTTTTACTGATGATGAACATTCTCAAATACACACAAAATTAAGGAAATACCGATTTTTTTTTTCTATTTTTATCAATGAAGAAAGAAAAAATAATTGTGAGGCCAATTTCAAAGACACTAAAAAGGAAATATCGATTTTCTTTTTTTTTATCAGGAGACCAATTTTTTTGCAGACTATTTAGCTTATTTAGCTTCACATGGGTCGGAAGGGTTACAATGGCTTGGAAAGTCGCCTTTGGGTGTCGTCAATGGCTATAACATGATGTAATTGTGGTAGTTCCAAAAAATGTGCTAATTAATCAGGCATTCGCCTCCTTCTTTGTAACTAAAAATAAATAAATGAAAAACGCAAAAACGTCCAAGATAAATAAAGAGCTACATTAATTGCGAGAATTTGTTATTCCAACAATGTTATGAAGAACCGAAAAATATAGTCTTTTAGTCGATCTAACTAAAATCTACTTAATTAACATAAGGAGAGACAGAAAAGAATACAATATTTGGGCAAAAACTCGTAGTCCTGCCGTTGAGGAAAGAAGTAATTAAGTGGTAGAGTTTCCGGTTTTCTTTTCTTCACTAAATAGTCGAAGGTTTTTTTTTTTTAAAAAAAATAAAAATAAAATCGTAGTTTTGACCATAAAAGTGATACAACTAATGAAGAAGGGAGATGAAATGAGATTCTTTCAAAACATAACGAAAAAGTTTTACACGTTTCTGGAGTCTCCATTTGATAATAAAGGCAATAACAAATTCACAAAAGGGGGGTGAATGAAAATTGCGCCCATCGACTTTGTTGCCGAATTATGAAATCCATGAAAAAGTGAACGGGATGGGTTTTTTTTTTTTTATAATTTTCTTTCTTGCTAGCAAATCACGGTCGCAAACTTGTTCATGGACTTACCTATGCCGCGATGTCAAAGTCGATAACATTCTTACATGTTATTTTTTCGAAATAATTTATTTTATATCTCTTCAAACTTTTAAACGTTTTGAAGTGTTTTATAGAAATTTTGTATAGATATTCTATTTTTCCTACTCAATATTTTCTTTAAGAGAATAAAAATCGTAACTTTAAGAAACGTAGAAATGAATGCTAATAATTTTTGGTTGAAAGAACTGATTGATGGAAATGCATGTAGCGAGATGAGATGAGCTTTCTTAACAATATGTAAAGTTTGTAGATGTATTTGGCCTTTGGGAAATAGGAAAAAGATAAAGGCACTAGCAAGTCCACAAAAATAGAGATGAAAGAAAGAAAATTTATTTGGTCGACTTTGTAAATAAAGTGATTAAATGGTCGATGAGAACAAATGTAATTCGATAATCATAGAATCTACTTATGTCCTCCTACTTATTTCAAAACTTAAATATAAATTTTTTAAAAACATTTTGACCAACACATTCCCATGTTTGTGAAACTTGCCAAACCGAATAAAGTACGTATTTTTATTATCATAGGAAAACTAAATATTTTAACAAGTAATGTTCACTTTGAAACTAAAATTTACGGTTTTCTTAACGGGCAAAATTGATATTTTAAGAGCAATTTTGTTAAAGTGAGAGCAAACATTTCTCTATCACGAATATTACCGTCCATCAAATTTTAGAACGGACTAATATTAATCATATTTATCTCCTATTTATTTTTCCAAACTTCTTGATAATCTCCTTGATAGTTAGTGTAACAAAAAATTCTCAACTCCTCTCCTTCAACAGAAAAATGATGATCATTACGTTTACGCAGCTCTTATTCAAAGTTATGGCTTCTTAATCGATTCTATTCTTTGGCTCTCTTTTATAAAATTCTGACACTTTAAAAAAGTTCTCAATTTTTAATGCATGAATCTAATTTTAAATAATATATTTAACTTACTCAATTAATTCTTGTGTACTAATATTTTAATTTTTTTCTCGAAAGTATTTTAACTATCCGTAAAGACAAATTGATTTTTTTTTAATTTTTTTTATGTAGGATTAGATAGTGCGCAAAATAATGTTTTTTTTTTTGTAGAATATTAAGTGCTTGTTTGGACGTCAACTTACATTTCATTTTGCCACTTAAAAGTGGAAAGTGTTTCAAAATGAAAACTAAATGGGAAATAAAATTTTTGTTTAGATGTTAGTTTTAAAAAAAATACTTTGAACTACATTTTAAAATATCAAGTACAAGTCATCACTAAACAATTAAATACTGTCAATTATAGTCACTGCAAAAAAGAACTTTTCTAAAAACAATCATTCAACAACGAAATCCTGCCAAATTTGTCACTGAATTACTTCTTTTCCAAAAAAGGTCATTACACTAACAAAAAGTGTTTCAAGTTGGAATTTAAAATGTAAATCTGAAAGTTGTTTGAATGATGTTTTCTTTTTAATTGGGTTTTGTGTTTAAGAGGTAAAATGAGTTAAAATGTAAAATGAGTTGTCAACAAACAAAGCTTAAGACATTCATAAGATATATATTAACCTTAATTGTATGTCCTTAAAGAAAACTTTTGTTATGTTTGGTTGATGATTGTGCCAAATAAAAAATAGCATCCAAAATTTTGTCTTACTACCCAAAATACCCTCATTGATTAAACAACCCATTTTAATATCTCTTCACCTTTAATTTATGATTCATCCACTTAGATCCGACTGAAACACAGTCGCTGGCAACAACATTCATTATGTAATCAAAAGGTTGATGCTGATAAAGCTAATTGTGTCATGGATGTTAGATCCATGCATGCATCCTAAAACAACAGAACAGAGATCCAGTCTCCTTCAAATATTCACACATGATTGTTGTTTTGCATCCTAAAAGCAATTCTTTTATTTAGAAGTTAAAAGCATTTCCGATAATTTTACCCACACACACACATATATATATATATTTACAAATTAAATTTGTGGTATACTAAAACCATAACATTATCCATGCAAATTAGGCATGTCCCCATTCTGATTGTATTTTTCTGTAGCATTTTGAAGTTTTTTATTCTTTTGAAATGAGAAACATGTATGAAAGAAAAGAAAAACAATATTGACTTAAGAAATCGGTGTGTGACAGCATTTTTAAAGAGAATATATAAAGGAAGTGAAGAAAAGTTTCAGAAGGAATTAACAATCCAAGATGGAAGAAATTTCATGGATTAGCGTCTGATAATTGATGAGAGAGTAAAGAAGGAAGAGGTTATTTTAGGTAATAGAAAGAAAATTTGTTTTGGATTCTACTTTTTGTTTTGACAAAATCATCAGCCGTGATATTTTTATTTCAATTTTGCGCAAAAACATACAACAAACGTAAGTAACCTTTCCAAAAAAGCTATTCACAAATATAAACTTCTTGGGAAAAAAAGAAACTTATTGGACGTGAAAACTTTTTTTACCTGTGATCATAATGAAGAGGAGTACATAAGATCTTAATATATTAATTAAAATCTTAATAGAGAAGGATAAATTTGGTATTATGGAAAAGTTTGCCCTAATTAGAACATAGTTGCTCTTAACATGTATCAGTTGCCTTCTTTTTGTTTCCATAATCTTAAACAGTTTTATTTTCTCCTGAATAAATCACAGTACAAAAGTCGAACGACACATATGCTGTATATATCTTTGCAAATTACATGGCACATATAAACCTTTCTGGAAAGTAGTAAAAAAGAGATGGACATAATTTTCGATAGTTCTAATCTCATAGTAAGTGTTATAAATATATTATTACAGGACAAAGTTATGCTCCTTACTATTTATGCACAATTAGACCTTAATCACTTTGTTGCGTAGACTCCAACATTAGAAACCATAACTGATCCAACGTACAATGTTCTTCCTCCAAGTCCAAGGAAACTGTCATACTCCTGCACCACATTCACTTGAGCTTGGGAATACTCCGCAGCAAAATCCTTTATCAAAATCACATCTCCATTTGAATTGAACTTAAAACCAAATGCGTGAACCAGACGAGGTCTTACTTGAAGCAACACGTTTACGGGCACCCAAAATGACCCAACTTCTGGGGCTTTCTTTATTTTGAGAGGGGAACCCGTTAAATTCAACAAAGCCTGGGGTTTTGCTGGCAATGGCCCTATGAGAGGAAGAGAATACTTGAAAATTTGTTTAGTAATCACCGAGCTGTATAATACAAATGTACCATCTCCACTAGCTGCTGGTCCTGAAGGAAGAGGAAGTTTGTCTAATAATAATCTCAAAGTTTTAGTTTTAGTGTCATATTCTATCAATCTTCCGGTCGAATCATCTGGAATAAGAGGATTTCCCAAGAGAATGTCCCTATGATAAATTGATGATAAAAACTCAAGTTAGTTCGACTGTTGAAGATATATATAAGAACATAAAACAGACAGAATTGAACTTGCCCTGTCCAAGAAAAATCGTTAAAAATTTTGAGAGATTTGTTTCATTTTTTTGTTACAAGTCTTAAATATCAATCTCGACGGAGGAAGTATTATTAATTGTTTTCAAGAAGAAACCAACGAGTTCTAAAAAAAATGCTTTGAAAGAGAACGCACGTGAAGCTGAATACCAAACTGGTATCTGTAAAATAAACAACTCTTCTGATTGGATCGAAGTCAATGCCTTGGAGAAAATGAAATGGCACGCCATTTACTTCTGTAGCAAGTTTCGTAGCTAGACCTCCCCGTGGGCTTACTCTATAAAAGCCACCATAAGCCCCCACAATATAAAGATATCCTGTTAGAGGATCGAAACTGAATCCTAATGGCCTTCCACATGTTGTGCTCAAACTTATGTCTGTTGTACCATCGCATATTTGCTTCGTTCTAAGTGAACAAAACAGCACAAGATTAAATATACTTAGGCAAGATAAATTAGATCTTGTATCAAATTCAAGCTATTAATTAGTTAGGGTTTAGGTTGATTGAGAAGTACATATATCACCTGTTTGGGGAAAGATAAGCAAAATCCACAAAATCAGTTCCATTGTATTTGAGAATTCTGCCATCACTGACTCCCACATAGGGACCTTGATTGAAAGGATCCAGTGAGACTGAATCGCCTTTCACTCCATCGGGATAACTGAGTTGAGAATATTTGGTGTATGGGTCTGAAACTCGCAAAGCAAACAATTGAGGAATAAAAAACAGAATGCCAAAAATGGACAACATCGTATAGGTTAAAAACAAGTAGCAAAAAGGATGGTGGATTCAAAAGGAAATTTGCCAGCATTTTATAGGCAGAAGTTTACATTGGTACATGTTGGTATGATGGCTCCAGCGGCAATATTCGTTAAAATTTTGGTATTTTGAGCTCTCATCGTGGCCTGTTGGGTTGTCCCTGTCCGGGACACTGATCGTATACGATTACATAAACTTTTGTTTCTACACCATAGATTTATACAATAATGGAATTTATATAAATCCTACCTCGCATTTGAAAGGGATCTAAACCGTTTGTCAACGCAAATTAATGGACCTTAGTTTGGAAATTGAACTAGGTGGACAACCTTTTCTTTTGGTTTTTATAGCTACATCCTGAAGATTAAAATAATCAAGGAGAAATACTTCGATATCTATCTTACTTGCTTTAGGTATCTGCCATTCTGCCTGTATATACTTTATTGAGACCAAATCGGGAGTAACATCAGAAATATGAGCAGGAGAATGAACAAAAATAAATATTACTTATACGCTACTTTAAGGTGAGTTTATGAGTCGGAATTAAAAAATTCCATAGAGAAACTGAAGCTGGTAATAGAACAAGAAAAATGATTTTAATGAGCACGAGAGATTGCACATTTCGTACAACGTTGTACAATATGTATGCTAAAACATTTACCAATAAAGATGGTATATACAAAAGGAAATTCAGAAAGTTGGCAACATTTAAATATATGCAGAATTTCACATAGGACGGCCGGCTGTAGTAATTTTATGGGAATTTTTCATTTATTTTGACCTCTTACTTATTTTTCATCGCTATCGTGAATTAATGGTTTCCCTGTTTCTAGGTGAGCCCGCCCTTAAACTTTGATGCAGAACAACAAAAAAACCGAAATGTTAACGAACCAAAAATAGAGCGATGCGGTGAATTTATCATTTTTACGGAATGCAAAATACTTGTGAAAAACCACTTATACAGAAATATGCTAGCTGCGAGCACATAATTTATTTGATACAAGCCATTACAAGGACATTAATTTATTTCATACAAGCCATTACAAGGAAACAGAAAAAATATATTACAGTATATATTGGTAAATGGCTGTGTCCATGATCACCGCTTTGTATATTTAACGACGTAATCAACATTACGGGAGCGTGAGCCAACATACAAAACTCCTCCTTGAGGAAGATCAAAGTACTCTTGAACAACATTCACTTGAATATCATTGGGATATTCTGCAGTAAAATTTTTCACCAGAAAAACCACACCATTTCCATTGATCTTATAACCATAAGGTTGAACCACACGAGGTTGCTGTTGAACCACCACGTTCACTGCCACCCAAAAGAACCCGAATTCCGCGGCTCTCTTAATTTTTACCGGAAAACCTGGTAAATTTATCTTAAATTCAGCGGTTCCAGCTTTTGGTCCTACGAGGTAATACTTGAAAACTTGTTGAGTGCCGTAAGAACTAAACAATAGATATGTTCCGTCTTCACTAACTGCTGGTCCTGCCGGAGCTGAAAGATTGTTCAATAATACTCTCACTGTATTCGTCACGGTGTTGTATTCTAACAATTTTCCACTTTTATCTCCTGGATCGCCAGGAAGCCCTAGAATAGCAGAACTATAATGGCATCATGGATAGGTAAACTTAGTTAGAAGTATGTAAAACAAATTCATGAGTTAGCCAAAAGAATCAAATGCGGAATGAAGACGTACGTAAAGTTGTATATCTCGCTAGCTTCTGTAATGTATACAACTCTTCTAAATTTATCGTAGTCAACGCCGTTAAGAAAGTTGAATCGTTCACCATTTGCGCTTGTAGCAAGTAATGTGGCCTGTCCACCTTGTGGTCCGACTTTATAGAACCCACCATAAGCATCCACAACGTATAGCTCTCCAGTGTAACGATCAAAAGTAAAGCCTAATGGCCTTCCGCATACTGGACCTAGACTTAGGTCTGTCACTCCATCGCATAATTGCTTTGTCCTAAAAAAAAAAAAGAAAAAACACATCACCTAATGAACAAAGTTATTTTAAGGTTCGATCTACACACGAGTATACCTGAATGTCATGTTAAAAAGTTTGTTGCATTTTTTTTTTTTTTTTTTTGTGAAAGGGAAATATTAGATTTTCTTTTTTCCGTAAAGAATAGTGTAAAACTATAACTGGTTTTGTTTGTCCTACACTTGTGTATGTATACTACGACACTCAGAATAAAAATTCATTAAAACCAAATATTTACACTAGTATATATTTCTCTCCAAATTATTGTCTAGTTTTAATTTTCACTTTTAGTAAAAAATGTGTCAAAACTAAAAATCGAAATTGGACAATCATTTTAAGACAAAGAAAATATATAATATATATGTTGAGTATTAGAAGAAGAACATTTCACCTGTTCGGTGTAAGATAAGCAAAATCCACAAAATCAGTACCATTGTATTTGATAATTCTGCCATCACTAACACCCACGTATGGACCTTGATTATTTGGATCTCGGGAAATTGAATCCGGGCCATTAGCTCCAGAATCTCCAAGATACAGCTTAGAAAAATTCGGGTAGGGATCTGGAAATTGAAAAGCCAAAAAGTGAGGAACGAAAAATAGTATGCCAAAAATGGTTGACATTGTGTACAACATTGTACTCGGCTCGTTGGAACCAAGTGAGATGGTGAAATTCAAAAGAAATTCTGCAGCATTTATGGGCAGGGACTCACAATGGAGCAAGAATATTTTTGCTACTATATATGAGCTGTACATTAATTTTTGTCACTATGTACATCACAACTCTTTCATTTAACTTTTGTAAACTTTTGTCAAAACTATTCTTAGCTATTCTATATATCTACAAGTAGGACATCGGACGTTCTTGCTATTGTTCATATAGGTTTGGCTAAGCTATCGATCCCAACTAAAGAAGACCAATAAGTTTCAACTTAGTTTATCAATTAGTACCCAAAACTAAATTAATAAACAAAATCAATGCATCTATCATAGTCACATGCTTTGAAATCAATCAATTTCAAATGGGAATAGTTCGAAGTGTCAAAGTTCTAGAACCAAATCCAGGAGATTCAGATTGATTATCACCAATAAGTGTAATATTTTACGGTTTCAGTCAAGATATTTTTCAAAAAGTGGATGTAATAGCTTTTATTCATGTCATAGCCTAGATTTTGTAAAATTTAATTTTTTTAAAAAATTAACCAATTAAAAGCAAATTAATAAGATACAACAATGATTGTATATCTTTTGTCCCTATATATAGTAATTACTTATGTGGTAATGCAGATATAATTAGGGATATCACTGGATATGTATCAAGTTCTACTATTGGCCTCCGTCTACACTATAGACAAACTAAATACTATCAACTTCAGTCGCATTTTAGTGGAACTCAGATACATTCTGTAAGCACATTAATTTGACCTAAATTGCAACTTGGACTGAAGATATGTATAGGGGGGACAAATTCTAAAATATTTGCCAATTGTAGCCGTATCCTTCTTCAAAATGATATTTTATTGCTTTGTTAATGAAATACTATTACTCCTTTAGGTCTCATTGTGTTGTGTGCTTCATTGTGATACATGTGATTTGATGAATTTTCAAAGCTCAAATTTGTCTATTTTAAATTTTAAGTTACTGTATTATATTTATGATAATAGTTCATAAATTGTTGTCACTATCTTGGCCGTTGCTACATTACGGCCCTGTAACGTTTATTACTAGCTAGGTTGAGTACTTGGCATACATAATCGTGCATAGGTAAATACATAGTCCATACCCTAATTCACTACAAAAGAAGAAAAAAAAAAAGATCCTCCATGCACGGTTTTTTATCCTTTCTAGCTCAACGCAAATTAATCGACGTAGCTTGCAAGGTGGACAACCTTCTCCACTGGCATTTTTTAGGCCGCCCTAGTGTTTAGATTGGCCATGCTGAAGATTAACTTCTGAACGACATGTTTTTCAAATGACTAACTAGTTCGTGTGCTACTTGCTTCCGGTCCTAATCTAGTCGCTATTGACTTATAGACAGTAAATGATATATATATATATATATATATATATATATATATATAAACTAAAATGTAGAGATATGAGCAGAGGACTTGTAAAAAAAATAAATAAATAAGAAGCTATATAATAGTTAGCACTGGTAGTAGAATACAAATACGTGATGAATTTGGAGGAATGATGTCCTTGCTGGAACTAAGGACATCGGATTTCCTTGAAGTCTAGATGCAGAATTCACAGCAGCTACGGAAGGAATCTGATTCTCTCTTCAATTGGTTAACATTATTAACAGAAAAATATTGTGTCCGTATATGGAGAGTTTGGGACGTCCCTGAAGAAATCTGTGGACTTTAATATCTATCACAGAGATCATAGTGCGACGAATAAATTTAGCTAACCCAGCGCATTAGCGGATGCGTTATCAAATTTACTCTGAAAATATAAAAACGCTCACCCAATTCGTAAAATTCTTTAATCTAATCATACAACTAACGAGGACTTTTTCTGTCGATACGGAGGCAAGAAAAATATAAGTTGTGCCCCAACCACGTGATGTAAGCCTAATCCTGTATCCAGAAATATTAAAAAAACAAAAAAGTTCTACTATATAATGAAACCTTTAGGTTTTCTTGTTTTTCGAATGAAGAGAAATGAGCCGCCCAAAAACACCTAACGTTCTGAAGATAGAGGCAATGAGAAAGTTAAGGGTACGTTTGGATTGTTTTTTTAGTGTGTGTTTTTAGGTGTTTTTTGTATTGGGAATGTAGAAAGGGGCATTGAAAATGTAAAAAGATATGTTAGAATGAGACAGATAATAATAATAAAATATGAAAAAACCAGAAAAAACACCGACCAAATAGATTATCTAATATTGAGAGAAATTAAGTCTGATTGGCTTAAGCCTATCGGTGAGAGTTTGAAAAGTATGAAAATTCGTTTAATTTTAGGAGGTGATATTTTAATTAAAACTATATAATCTTATTCTAGATAGGGACCAGACATAGATTTTTTGGACAGGTGATCAGAAACAAATGTTATCCCAAATTACTTCCAGGTCGTCCAGGAATTTTTCAGATAAACTTTTTTCGTTTATTTTAACTCTTAATTCATTTTATATCACTATCGTGGCCATTGTGATATTGCCATATTCTCACGGTTTGGTTTCTAGGATGAGCCATTACGTTGGATGTTTATCTTTATATGACTATTTTCTTGAGTTCGATCCATATCTATGAACAAAAAAGGGGGCCGGGCAGTGGTGGAGCTAGGGCGGACCTGCAGGGCGGTCGCCCCTTTTAGCCCAATTTTTTTCGGCATAGACCCCTTAAAAATTAAGTATAAATTTCTGTATTTTTATATTTTCGTCCCTGCTAAACATAGTTAGACCTGCAGGGCGGTCGCCCCTTTTAGCCCAATTTTTTTCGGCATAGACCCCTTAAAAATTAAGTATAAATTTCTATATTTTTATATTTTCGTCCCTGCTAAACATAGTTTATACATTTGGCCCCTCCATTCTATAAATCCTGGCTCTGCCCTTGAGCGGGGGTGCGGGAATGGGGTGTTGAACAAAATAACAAGGGTTTTGTGAGGGGTGACTATTTTCTCACGGATTGCTGGGTCTGGGAATCCTATACCAAAGAAACTTTCCTCATGTAGTTGGTTTTAACTGCACTGGGTTATGAGAATAATATTGTTATCTTGTTTATCAGTGTAAGTGTAGAGGATAAAAACAAGTAGCAAAGAAGTCGAAGATGGCAGCAGTTTACAGGCAGTTCATAGTGGACCATGTTTGTATGACGGCTCTCGCAGCAATATTTCGTAGAAAAGCTTTGGTATTTGAGCTCTTAAATATGTTGTCACTATCCACGACGCGGATAATTTACGAGTACGTAAAGTTTTGTTAGGATGTGAACATGAATAGAAGTGTGTCAATATATAAAATTTAAGAATTATTTCATTGTTACTAATTAGTTTTCCGATAAGAGGCGAAATTACTTATATATATTTTGACAAGTTTTGTTTCTATTTCTCGCATTAAAGAAAAATGCGATGGATAACCTTAGTTGAAGAAAAATGCCCACCTCTCGCATTTGAAAGGAATCTCTACCGTTTATTAACTCCACTTAGTTGACCTACCTTTCAAATGTAGAGTCCCTATTAAAATTGTACCTGAATGCGATTTAATTTCAACGTTTAAATATTAGCCATTTAGTCCCGCACGTATAAACCACAAGTCGATTGAGTCCCACAACCGTGAAACACTCGAACATAACGGGAATCAACCACTCCATGAGGTGTATCCCAGCAACAGTTTCTCTAAATGATGAAACAACCTGGAAAAAAAAAAAGAATCGTGGGTGTTCCCAAGAGTAAAACTCCAACACTTTAAGCAATATTTTCTTTGAGAGAGTAAAAGCATGGTAGAATTGTGACATCACTTATGTTGCTTCAATATGTGTCAAAGTCACATTAGTCTCCTATTTCAAAACTAATTGCCAATAAGTGGTGTGGCCTTTGGAGGTTATAAACAGATCACAGATCCTTCACGACACCGATGTGGGATTCTTTTGTGCCAACACCCTCATCAAGCCCAATAGGTTATTTGGCCCATTAGGGTTACACAACACAATATAATTCATCAGATATACTACTGGGTCAGTTCAGGACTCCGGATGTGCTGCAGGTTCAGTCCACAAGCCCATACATACGGGCACACTTCGGATATACTGCCGAGTCATTACATATCCACAGATCGTGGGCTCTAATACCATGTCAAAGTCACCTTTGCCTCCTATCTCAAAACCAATTGGCAATAAATGGGGTAGCCTTTGGAGCCTTTAAATAGGTCACAGATCCTTGACAAGCCGTCGTCACAACTAGTCAAATAAATTAACCTAATTAACACTAGTATAGCGAAAAATAGGGTCGTACCCACAGAGAAGGAATACTAATTACCAGGTATAAATTACTCCTATTATTATCTAGATAAATGATGATCTCAGATTTATAAAATTTAAAACTAAAATAAATAAATAAAATAAAAGCAAATAATATTAATTCAAATAATCAGACAAAGAAAACTTAGGATATTGGGTTCACCTACCGAATATTTGGTTTAGTTCAATTCACAAATTTTTGACTTTTAACTTCTATTAATCTCACAACGATTCACCTAATTAGGAACCGTACACTCTCATGTTATAATTCTCTTACTTAGATTAAACCTATGACTACTCTCGTGACTACAGGGATTAAGCATAAGCATATTAAGACCATAAAGAATCAAACATTGTAAAGGTTATAATCTTACTCTCTTAGCTTACAACCAAAGTCTATTATTCCTATGAACTAATACTAATCTTCCACTCTCGCTACTTCGATTAGTATCTTCAGACATGTAAATAGTGGCCAATTACTTACACGAATTAAAACAAGAATAACAGATATTAATTAATGAAAAAGTCAAATAATAATGAACCATTTAAACCAAATAAATCCGGCGGCTACATCCAAGCCCTAGGTTAAAAGAATTTAGCCACTAAACATTATCAAAATTAATTCAATAATATTTAGAGACATAATCTTAAAACACCCGGACGAAGGCGAGA